AGAAGAGGGTGTGACGTAATAGAAAAAAAATTGAGCATCGTTCTCTGTGTGTTTCATTATCACAATGGTTTCGTCTGTATGTTAACAAATGTCTCGGGCTCTATGTCAATTTCAGACACACACTGACGGTATTGAAAGCTGTGTCTGCTTCTGACACACCAACCGTACCGTATTGAAAGGTGTGTCTGCATGAGTCACACCTAATTTACTGAACAGTGTGTCTACGTCGGACACATCATCTGTTATGGCGTGAAACATGTATTGATACTCACTGTGGGAATGTACCGACCCATACACAGCTGCTCGCTTTGACAATTGGTCAACGCTGAGATAAGGAATTTTGATATGTGGGCCCTATTAGGCACAGTGAGGCGTAGAGGCAACATCTTTAAAAAAAAAAAAAAAAAAAAAAAAAAAAAAAAAACCAGTTTTCCACTGTTGAGAACCAGAGTTTCAAACGCGTTGAACTTTGATCACATTAACAATGACACTCTTCATTTTGACAAAAAAAAATGTCAATGGTTAAGAAATATATATTTTTTTGTTCCTCAAGAGCATGTCTAAGTCTAAATGTCAGCAACATTATGGCTGTTGTTTTTCTTAATGGCAACTTTTTTTTTGTTTTTACCTAATCCTACAGACATCGAGAAAATGGCCGACTCTGCACTGAAGCTCTACTACTTTGACGGCCGCGGCCGAGCTGAGGTGGCCCGGCTCATCCTGGCGGCCGCCGGCAAAGAGTACGAAGACTTGCGCTTTTCGGAAGAGGAGTGGCCCAAGTACAAGCCCCTGACCCCGTACGGGCAGGTGCCGGCGCTGCAGGTCGACGACGTGGTGTACGCCCAGAGCAACGCCATCTTCTCGTTCCTGGCACGCGAGTTCGGCTTCCTCGGCGGCTCGAGCCTGGAGATCTTCAAGATCGACGAGATCGTCAACCTCGTCAACGACTTCGTCAACGCTTCGGCCGATGCTCTGTTCCACACGGACGACCCGGCGGCCAAAGAGGCTGCGCTGAAGAAGGTCAAGGAGGTAGTGGGGCCACGCACCCTCGGCTTCCTGGAGGTCATTCTGGAGAAGAACGGCACCGGCTACCTGGTTGGGGACAAGCTGAGCTTGGCTGACATCGTGCTTCTGGACGCCACTACTGGGGGGATGGCGTCTAACCTGCTGGACGTCAACGATGACTACCCTTTGGTCAAGAAAACCATCGAACTGGTCAAGTCAAATGAGAAGATTGGCAAATACCTGGCCACAAGGAAGGATTCGCCCTGGTAAATTCCAGAGACATTTTTGTATGTGGTGAATTCATAAATCATTTCTAAATGTAACAATTAACTGTTCTGGTTGTTATTAAATATATTATTTATAAAATTTTTATAAATTGTTGATTGTATTCTTTTAGAAATTTAATGTAATTTCCCCAAATATTCCTTACATTCATACATGATATATGCAAAAATATCGTCCTTCAGCTGTCAGTTTTTAAATTCAAGGGCACCCCTGTGCGCATTGGGCAATGCATGTAACAGATTTCTACTGGCACCCTCTTTAAGCTAGTGTCAATTTTTTCAATTGTCTTTCCCAAGTCACAAACATCAACCCCCCCCCCCCATAATAATAGGCCTTTAAGGTTCCAGTTTTAAGCTGGCTTAGCTATGCTCTCTGTCTCAGGTGTAGGATGTGCCCAATAAATTTACCAATTTCTGATCACATGAAAAGACATGTAAAATGGGTCAGACAGTTTTGTCACAAGACATTAGACAATGCCATATGACACAATGAATTATTGAAATATGACATCGTACATTATTGCCGTGTGACATACTGTCCAAAAGAGCAGAAAATGAATGTGCACTGCTGGTATCTAAATATCTTTAAATAGATCTAATCAGGGCAGGTTGACATTTTCGAACAACTGGATGGGTTTTTTGTTTTGTTTAAATCCTCAAAATTTCGTTAGCACAAAACTTTCTGTTGCCGAACACCACCTTGGCTTAAAATAAGCCTCTGGTCTTTCTCAAATCTCTTCTATAGTGAAAAGGAAGAACGCATAGCCTAGTAACGGTCGCTACACTTTCCCCGGGCACATCTTATCATCTGGGGGGGGCACATCTTACCATCTGGGGGGCACATCCTACCTTTCCGAGCATATCTTACTCTTTGTTGGTCAAATCCTAGGAGCAGGAAGTTATCCAATTGGTAATGATCAGTAAGTTAGACAAAGGGAATTATCAGGACGTCATCCAATCGATAATCAGGAAGTGATTATGTGGGAATGTTCAGAAAGTGTTCAAGTGTACATGAATAGGAAGTGGTTATAAAAATATGGAGTAGGAATCAACGAGGCAACGAGTAAAAATTGGAAATGGGTTGGCCATACAGACAGGAAACCAGACTTCCGCTTTCGTTTTAAGTAGTACCTTTCCACTACAGCGGAATTTCACACCAATAGACAGTGCTTTTTGGTAATTTTTTTTTTTAGTCACTGCCGGAATCGTTCCGCAACCTTTTTCAAACTTGGCCCCCTTTCATGGCCACGTACGTAGGTGTGACACCAATGGTCAGATAAGTATACCGGTACCATTTCCTCCGTGGAGATAACTCTTGGAAACAACACGTGCCCAGCACTTGTTCCCTTCCGCTACTGGGAACACGTGGCACCTGGAGCTATTATGCACCGAGTTAGTCATGTCACTTTTAGCACCTACTGACCCAACACAACGTCCATGCAGAGGCGTAACGATATTGTAGGGCACCATCGGTAAGAGCTCTCAAGCTGGGAGCAGATGGGATCGGTTCTAAAACCAGCCAAAGGAGACAGTACTTTCCGTTATTTGAACAGTAATATTCTAATGAATTTCATTTTAATTTACTGCTATTAATAACAACTATGTTACAGTATGAAAAATATAACTGTACCTGACCCCTGATTGTTACTATTACAAATACCACTGACTCCCTGATTATTGTACTAAAATAAAAACCACTGACTCCCTGATTATTGTACTAAAATAAAAACCACTGACTCCCTGACTCCTTAATTGCTGTACTCGAATAAATACCTTTGACTCTCGGCCTTACTTTGTTCGTAGATCCGCCTTCACACAGCAAGGTGTCGGCTGTAAAAGTGGAGTTCTTTAAAACGGTATTTTACAATAACAGAAATTTTTAGAAACCTAATCCTCCTTCCCCCCCCCTCCACACCCTCTCCACTCCACCCCTCCACTCCACCCCCTTGCGTCTGCTATAAAACGGCGCGAGTCGTCCTCCCTAACCGGTCAAACTCCTTCCTTCTACCACAGCTGTGCTCAGATACAGCAGCGAGGTTTTAAACCAGTTCAGATTCACGAGATCAGATAATGTAAGTAAATATTCTACCTTGTGTGTTGTTCTTAGGACCCTATTACAGTTGTTAAGTTACTACGGAATATGTCTCGATGTATAACGAATCTCTTCTCCACCCCCCAAAATTCGCCGAGTTAACATTTTTGGGGGCGGTGTGTTGTTTATGGGGTTAAAAGATAGAAGGGAAAAACAAAAAGACAGGGGTGGGTGCATCACTCACATAAGTGTCATGGTTATCACTTCGCCGATTCTCGCGTGAGAGAGAAAGCTGTTAACCCGTCAAGTGTCCTAGATCTAGCACATACAGTAGAGAGGCTCTCGTGGTTATTAAGGTTTTTTGTGTTTTTTTTAACACGTTCATTGTCGGTAATACATAGTCACAATGGCCGTGGTCCAATGCTGTCCAAAGCCAAAGTAAAGGCTGAGTGAGAGGAGTACACTGTGTGTGAGGGGTAAATAGGGTTGTGTGTACATTGTGTGGTGTGTGGTGCCATGGGGTTAAATGAAACTGGATATTTGAATCTTGTCATATCATTTTTAAAAAAAAAATCATAATTATGCCTCAATTCTTTTATGCCCCATCCGTTTCATTGTACGAGCCCACCCCCCTCTCTATTTCACCCCCACCTCTCTATTCAACCGCCGCTACCCTCTGGCTGACCCATTTAAACGTGGCCTGACCGTGTAGCATCACCAGGTCAATTTCCTGACATCTGCGTACGCCGTACACTGTATCGCAGGCGGTACAGTCAGGGAACACGACCGAATCCTCCAGACAAACGGGATACTGGCTTACTGTAGTGACGTAACATTTCTTCGCCTTGTGTATTTAGACTTGAAATGACCAACCCCACCCCCCCACGACCATCTACATAAGCATAAAGTGATAAAGTACCAATTCGACTGAAACCACGA